ACCATTGGGTCTAAATATTATTAAAACAATAATGATTAAATATTCAAGTTATATTAAAGGTAAAAAAGATAACTGTGTATTTAAGTGTAAAGTTAGTTGTGGTGGTGGACGATGAATATGAGATTAGCTCGTTCCATGCCTGAGCCCCAATCACCAAGTCTTTCATATTTAAATCCGATTCTATAAATAACTTTAGTTAGGACGCAAAAATTGATGGTTGTAGTAAAAACTTTTTAGTTGCCCAAATAAAAATATAGGCAGACCTAAGAAGTAACGTGGTAAGTAGATTTGTTTTTTGCTATTTATCATCTTTAAAATTTTACCTCAGACTTTCTGTAAGAAATTACTTGTAAAACGCTATCCGACCCCCAGGCTGGACTGTAAGTAAAACATGCCCACTAGCCCATCATAGTTACTAACTACAATAGCTATTGAGTTATGAATGCGGCCCATCTGTAGCCCAGCAATTAAACTTTGCAGACTGCGTAAATCAGGCTGGCAACCCCTCCCGCAATTCAAACAGTATATCTTTCATTTATGACTGAAGTTTGACCTGCTAGCTGGAGTCATGAGGTCACTCGCGTGTGGGTCGCCCGAGGGGCAGACTTGGCGGTTAATGATACAAAATCAGACATTGGACTAGATAAACTCATGTAAGGGTTATTTAACTTAATAGTAGTTAAATAAATAGTGACGAATTCTCGGCTCTATTTTGTGAATAGATAAATATTTCTACCAATATGAATTCATATTTAGCAAAAGGCATGATACCCATAAATACTCGTACTAATAACATGCAATTACTACGAGTATGTTAAAAGAATCACCTTTTTCTTGTTTCATTTAAATGTTTAAGGATACTACCCAGTATTTGTCCTAAAAAGACTATAAGATCCATAACTATTTTTTATTTTAACCCTGTTTTTATTTTATTTATGTAACAATTACTTAAATGACCAACCTAGGGAAAATAATAGATGTAAATATTTTAGGCTAAAACAAAATATTTTGTCCCTCTTTTGTATTTCAAAGAAAATCGTGCTGAATATTTGATAATCACCACACAAAGAAATGTATTTCAATGGAAAATAACATCTATTTTGGTAGGACGAATGGGCTCGGTATGAAAAGCATCCGTAGCAGAATTGTACTGAAAATATTAAGCATGTCTAATAACAAGGCTTACAATATTTCAGTTCCAAGTATATGCCTAGATTGCTAATTGTCCTGATGTCGAGTGTTTGTGGATTTATGTGAATAGGTAGGTATACTTCATTCATAAAACAGATCATTATTTACTTCAATTTCTCAAACGAAGTTATACTTCGCGATTACCCATTTCAGTTTCCATTGCAACTTTCTCCTTCTGAACAAATACTGGCTAGTTTTCCAACTACTTTTCAGGAATAGAAGAATTGAGTGGTTTTGTAGAGTTCCCAGTTAATTGAGACTTCGCCGCGACCACTCGGGCTCGTTGTTAACTTCGTTTTGATCAACTTGCGCTTGCACTCCAACCAGATGGTGAAAGAATATTGGCATAAGTTTGTAATTAATGACGACGAGCTGGTTTGCTCGATTGCTTACAAAGGTCACCCTAGAGCGCTTGTAGACGTCCGTTTTTTTCACCGGACAACGGCCCGATTTTTTCACCGGATTTAGCGGTGGCGTATGGTTTATAGTGAACATGTGCACATGCATCGGACATAGGTCCGGCGAGAAAATTGACAGCAAACAAAGGATATCCGTTTTTTGACGGTTCGTCGTCCGGTGAAAAAACGGACGTCTACAAGCGTTCTAACTGAGGTTGCGGGTTTAAATATCACGGATAGGTCGAAAGTACACGAACACAGTTAATTCTGATTCTGTTTAATATTAGCAATAGTTATTAGTTGCATGATTAAGAAATCTTTATTAGCAAACGCCGCTATGCTAGTTCAATCCAACTTTAATGTTGTAAAATGAAAACCACAGTTGTAGGCTTACACCACAGAAGAAACACGTGTGAATTTTCCCTTTACGTGAAGGTGGATAGATCCGTTCCCACATCAATCAGCGTTAGCGTCGCTTATTTAGTTTATTCGCTCCGGAGCGCCGCAGTTTTAGCGGGAGTTTAATTCGTAATTGCAAATGAGATTACAATGGCGACACGGTCCCTTTTAGTAAAGTGACTATTATCGGCGCGGCCGCTCAGCGCGGATTACACGACTTAAAGCGCAGCTCGCGGTGTACAGCCAGCTCATTACTAACAGAACCACAGGTTTAATGATAAATCATAATTGACGTTGTACTTAGGGCTTTTATAAACAAAAGCCGCAAAAGTATAAGAACAATTTGCATTCAATTTATAAGTACTTCCAGCTCTAGATTAAGGTCCTTACCAACGTCACAGCCTTTAATAATTTATGATCTCTCCAGGATACTGACGAGGAACATTGCACTTTAATCCCTATTTCTTGCAAGCCGCTCCTGTAGTTATTATTTCGCCTTGCTGATCTCTTCAGCATACACTTCAAGCCTCTCAGCTCCAGTGAAAATTAGTATTCTAGTCCTCGCGCCCAAGATTTTGTGTATAAAGCGCGGCGCGACATGTTTCGGCGCGAAACACTCGCAAAATGGAAAGTAGCAAATAATAGTGGGGGGAGGGGCTCGCCTAATGGTCTATGAAAGAGGGAATTTCATTTTTGCGAGCGATTATAACGGACAAAACATCGGTATTCTGAATATAAAATGCGCGACCATGGAGCGTTATTAGAGAGCTAATAGAACGGTAATGGGATACTGACCTCGAGCGGGTTCGTACGCGAGTGTTCACAGCGGCTCCGCGGCATTACGCGAGAACGCTTTCAGGATATGTCGATGTCGACTAAATAATTGCGTTGCTATTCAAGGATTAGTGTTATGTTACGCGATATGGATTCTGACGTGGCTTTGCTTCAAGCTATGTTCATTATAGTCAAGAAAGGGTCTTTGTAGTTTCAAAATTAGCACTGAGTTCAACTAATTAATTTAGGTCCATCTTCATGGCGTAGTCCCTAGTTCATGATTTACTAAAAATGTTAGCACAGGGCCTATATTTATGCAGGCGTTTATAATTATAAATATCATTTGACATTCCTGCTTACACGTCACGAATTTTCATTAAATACAACCTCCCAGCTATAGAATAATGTTCGCATCAGTAACATCATCCCGTACGTAATCGGCGAACTGGCACACAGACCGGGTGGGAGTCGAACCCGCGCCCGGGGACCGGCCGCTACTACCCGCGGGGCCGCGCGAGCAGATTAGCTGCGAGTGGATCGTTTATTAGGTCGTTGGGCACGGCTGCGATACCATGGGCTCTGATGGGTATTTCTAAAACTAAAAGTCAGACAGTCTAGCTAATACTAAACTTACTTAAATAACAATGAATTGGAACTCAATTGTGTTTTAATGCAACAGTTTTTATTTTTTATTCAGTTCATTCCTTTATCGGTCGTCCTTTCAACAAAACTAAGACTATTTCTACTGATCTTGTTTGTCGATTAGAACAGGGTGATGAATTTTGAGGCGTCATGTCCTCGATAATAGGAAGGGCTTTAAAAACCCATCGGCTTCCACGCAGCTCTACGCATCTACTCGTGGCAGCGTGCGAGCGCGACTCATGCGATTACCGCGTCTTCGCTGGCTCGCCGAACGTGCACCGCCGAATATGCATTGAAACTCCTTCGAGCCGATAATCTAAGGGAAACCTACGGTAATGTTCTACTTTTTATATGGGAACACGGTACCATTAAATGCTACATGAAGTTTTATTTCTTTTTCCTATCGCACTTATGTTGCGCTCATCGCGTTTTAGGATAAAATGCATTTTGTGTTTATTTATTTTATACTATCCGAACGGGTGTTAGCTTGATAAAGTTTCGTTGTTAAATTAAAAGAATATTTGAAGACAAAATACTGAAACTAATCAAAAGCAATAAAATTAAATCCTGCGACTCGAGAAAAAGTAAAGAAAATTATTTCTTCATCCAAGATTAATTAGTCAAGTGAAAAACTACAGGTGGCGGCCAATTGGTTCGCCGTAATAAAAACATTAATCCCCGTAACGATCTTAATCCTGAGCTATCTCCTAGATCGAGTCGCGGCTGTCACGCGATTCGGTGCTCAATTATTGGGCAAGTAGGTTCAGATTATCGTAGCCGGTTAGGTTACTCACTTCTAGAATAACTTAATCACAGTACGACAGGAGTCGCTTTTATATTGTTACTGAAATGAACAAATGATTTGACATCTAGTTTGCTACATCAAATATCAAACCAAAACGTTTTCTACTTGTTTGTGTGGACTAAATTAATTAGGTATCTAGTAAGTTGAATTTATTACTACTTGACTATTTGATAAGTGGCATTTACGAGTACCTGCACGTCTTATGATTTTTTTGTCTTACCAGCACTTCTAGAGAAACCTGAGCATTATTATTAGAAGCTTTATTCTTACTCGTTATTCGTAGTATCGGATATTAATTATGAGTTGATTGATGAGTATGTTAGCTTTTAACAATATGTTTAATAAACTAAGTACCGCTGCTAGGTACTACTTAAGTTCCAAAATGTGCAAGGAAAATAAAGGAATTTTATACTTTCACCGAACACTAAGCATCGTTCGTATGTAAATACACCTAGTTGCATTTGAAGAGTTACTACTTTAGTAAGAGTCAAACAACATGAACTTTGCAACCAACCTTGTGTTATGTAACGTGACTATTCCCACCTCTGCATGTCCTATGGTCGCAGTGACATTGGGTCTGGAAAAAAATTAATCCAAAAAAAATTGGAGTTAATCAACTGCCCTCTTTTACAAAGATGTAATTAGACCAAGTGAAATATCTAATTCAAATTCAAATTCAAAACGTTTATTGCATGTCACATTACAATTTATATGTTGTTGCAAAATAGAGGTAGGTATACATGTGACGTTCTGCAAAGGCACAGCAAAACATCAGATCTCTAGTAGTCATAATGTTTCTCTCTCCGTTGCAGGTGTCGTGGATCCGGCACCGCGACCTGCACATCCTGACGGTGGGCGGCTACACGTACACGTCGGACCAGCGCTTCCAGGCCACGCACGCGCCGCTGGCCGACGACTGGACGCTCCACATCAAGTGGGCGCAGCAGCGCGACGCCGGCGTCTACGAGTGCCAGGTCTCCACGCAGCCCGTGCGTTCCTTCTTCGTCACCCTGCACGTTGTTGGTGAGTTCTTTACCACAATTTCATTTCAGTATATTAAGGCCCTCGCCACACTGGCGGATCATAAACGTTTGCACGCGCAAACACGCCGCGTGCAAATCTACCAGTGCATTGTTTTTGGGCTGCGCATCTATGCTCGAACGTCGACACTGAATATGTATGTGGTTGTAAGCTTAGTGTCTCAGAGCAGTATTCTGACTCGCAGTCGACCGCAAACGTTCGCGACTGTGACAACCAACCGGTGGAAACTCACCTTTACGGTAACTGTCATTTGCAAAGCCGCCAGTGTATTGCCATCTCACTCCGACCGTTTTGGATCGTCGGTAATCAATCTTCTTTTTGCGGAATATCTTTGTTACGTAACCAGGACAGCTTACGATTCCAGGAACCTGGCATTAGTCCCCGAAACGATAATTACCTACTTATTTCAAATCTCTTTTCATCAGTTGTGAAGTACTTAAGTATTTACCAGCGTATGACCGGCGTTTCAAAACGTAAAAGTTTCAAGAAATTATAGATTGTTTGAAGTAGGTATAATATAATTATGATTTGCATAAAAAAGATTAGACAAAGCGTACGAGTAGGTACAATCCTCGTTGTTTCCAAAGAGGGAAGTAAATACAAATTAATAACAAAATAAGTGTCACATTGAATGAACCGAAAGTGGAAAACACGACATGCCCTTGTGTGTTGTCAATCATCTGTCGCGTTTTATTACTCAGATGTAAAAGAGACGTTCACAAAGAAATAATCTTCCCCAAGCTGTCGGGATCTGCGCCTACAATTGAATAATAAAATGTCAGAATAACAACGCAACAACATTAGCAATCTGAAGGAGCAAAGGTTGGCGTGTGCCTACTCCTCGCAATTTACACGAGCAGTTTTATTTTAGTCGCCGAGACTGAGTCTTGAGCTTGAAAGTCAATTTACTCTAAATTCAAGTCTGAATAAATAAAAATATCCAGTTCTAAAGGCTTTGCAGTAAAACGCAAGCAAGAGAAAATTTAATTTAAGTTTCAAGATTCATTATACTCTTACTAAGTAGTACCTACATATTAAGTTTTCTATGCTCTTACATTTACCTACATATTTGTTTTGTATAGGTACACTCAAGATCTTGCGGTAGGCATTAAATCTCAAAGTAGGCGCAAGCTGATTTTCGTCCCGGCTCCGGAGTAAATTTTGTACAACTCAAACTAAACAAAGGGAAATTGAGAAGTTGTGAACAGGTTAACAAAATGTATAATGTGATAACGATCTTTCTCGTATACTGCTTCATGAAGGTGTGTAATGGTGCTTCAATTAGTCTTTTCATGGGCTTTTAAGAAATGGCCGTTTATGCGCTACTAACCGAGACGGGCGTGTGAGGCAACGGGCCGCACGCCGAATGCGCGCCGCGATGTTTGCATTCCGCCGCCGAAGCACAAGCCTCGCGACAATTTCGACAAACAGCGGCTCGAAAATGCGATGCGAAATCGGCACCGGCCCATTGTCACGGCACATTTTAACATATTTATTGGAGCGAATGGGCGTGCTTTGAATTAATCGGGTTGCTCGCGCCCAAAACAGCAATTTGTTGTAAATCCAGAGATAAAAGCCGGATACCGGACCGCGCGAATTCATCACGGCCTCGATTGTATTTGTCTAAATAAACGGACCAGAATCGAATACGTATCAATGCGGGCCCCATTGTAACCGAATATCGGGCTGATAGAAAATATACCATAGAGAATTCGTTGCGCCATTCCGACGCGGAATAATCTCATTACTAGGCACTTGCCGAAAGAATACGAATGATCCGCGCCGCTGAGAAAATGCAATTCCTATTTGGTCCGAGCGGACGCGGGCGGGCAGTTGAACGCGCGCCAGCGTTTTAGGAATTGGGATTCCCCGGATTCAATTCTTAATAATAACTTCTTATTACCGGCGGAGTTATGACGACGTCGATTGAAATCTTTTGGGAACCGAGCCGAATTTCGAGGAGTCAACAAGCAATGCATTTCGTGGAAAAATGCTTTTTCTGTGACATTACTTCTCTTGCACTTATTTTTTACAATTAAAAATAGGTATACTCATTTGCATACACAAGGACGACAAACTACTGACATGTTATTATTTCAACAGATTGCAACGAGATGTTCCAGAGGATGTTCTCTGACCAAGGTCTGTCTCGCGTGCAAAGAATAACCAATACTGATGGCTTAGTTATGCTAGGTCGTCACTATTGGTAAATGAGTGTCACTAACCGTTGCTGGTGTGTTTTGTGACTCAAGATTGTATTTTATTTATACGCTACTAACAGTGTTCATTGATATGCAATTTGCATGCATCGTTGATAAAACCAAATACCTAAGCCTAAAAACTCTATTTCATAAAATAAGAAACCGCTTCTCACAAAAGATTTACCATTTATTTCATTTTATAGAGCTCTGTAGAGCTTACGTAGAACTGTCGTGCTTGGTGGTTTTGTGACATGTAAAATATCAAGAGGTTTATTGCTTATACCTCCATGGCAAATCAAGTGTGTGGAGTCCAAGATTAATCTGACAAATTTAATTAATTTTCTTGCAATAAACGATTTTATTTATATTTATTTATTTATTCAGTACTTGGGGAGTTGATTGTTAAGTCATGAGAGTTGTTGTGTCGTTTTAAGCCTCATAATTTTATTATCCCGCATGATATGTCCCATGATGCCGTAAATTATAATATTATGAGAAATATTTATGTCAAATGTTATTTATACTGTAATTTGTAATTTGACACAAAATGAAGATATCCGTTTCAAGGAAACGGCGCAGTTTATTTTCATAATGTCAATACTAGTGCAAATTGATATCAGCAACTTCACTTATTTTAATTGTGAACAGGCAATACTACACACTACATAATACAAATATATCATATTCAGCACAAGAATTAAAATGGCTAACAAAATGATTTTTGTTCTTTTTGTCATCATAATGTGGACGTTTTAAAGGGTTTAGCTTTTTTTGATGCAACATGTAAGGTTAATATCTCAAATGTAAATATGTAACCCAATAAGTACTATATTTTAAAAATAACTACGCATGCATCAGCTTCCCAAGATGATATCTATGAGTCTACTTTACTAGTGTTGATTGTGCATTTGTGCTGCCATCAGACATCTGTTTCAATTTAGCCAGTTCCGCCTGCCGGGCCCCAGCAGTTGTATTACTTAGTTCACGCAACACTCCTACGTGTTCAATCCGCTACATCCGAGCTGAGCGTCTTATCATCTTAACTTGAAGCGGAAATTCAACTAGAAACAACAGCCAGATACAGAACTTAATACAGATATACAGGCTGAATTTGAATTCATGTGATATCTTGAACGGAATAATTATTGTAAGAACAAATATACGATTCAAATGGTGGTATAGTCACTATTTTAAATAATTTAATTTGAGATGTCAGTGAATCAGTGTTTTGCAATATAGAAACATCGGACTGTAAGGCAGGTGATCTTCTTACTTTTAGCTTAATATCACGCTCTCTCCACCTCAGAACCTTTCTGCTCTGTTGATTTCTGCCGCTGTGATAAATCTTTCTGCTGATAATCTTATTCGATTTAGCAAAAAAGTCACTTCATAACACGGCCTTTGATCTTTTCATATTATTGTCGCCAAATATATCCAGGCCTATTCTATAGTTATCCGGCTGTGTCAGCTCCAGTGAATTAATAACAGCGATAAATTCCCGCCACACTCCTGTTAATTACATCAGCCTCCATTCGGTTTGTTTTTTATCGTTGTTTGTTTCAATATCCGCGTTCTGTTTGCTGTAAACAACGGACGGTGTATGAAATCGATACGCGCGTCAAAGTGATGTCGTCTGTGTACTCTAGTACAATAATCTGATTGCAATTCGTGTAATTTACTTAGTTTTATTCGTGTACACAGCTGTGGTTTAATCTAGACAGTTCAATATCCAGATCAGGCATACAAAGGTATGCTTTTAATTTCATTCAAACCGACTTAAAAATTATCCAAAAAAGCGTTTTGAAACATTAAGACTGAGTTGCACCCTAACTTTGACCGTAACTATAACGATAACCGGTGTATTTTGTATGGAGTTTTACAGATTTTTGACGTTTGTCAAAGTTAAAGTAAGATGGTGCAACCCAGCCTAAATGTTAGATGGGAGGAACATCACTATCAAGGAAGTTTTGTAGTAGTAGCAAGTAATCATTTAGGCATTTCAGGAAAGTTATTTCCAAACTTAAAAATAGTACCTATCTGTTGAATATTATCGAGATCGCTCGGGCCGATGCGCCTAGGGCGGGCGTCATTTCACGCCTTACAAGCTCCATAATTACTGCAACGTGTGATCCGCACTTGCAGGCAATATAGCGGCGGTCACGGTGACGGCCACAGCGCGTCCCGTGGGGCCGCTGACTCTTGCCATGGTGTTCTACAGTACCCATCTGGCTACTTCATCTGCTAAGCCCTTGAGCAGTTTGACTTTTCTTGAGCTTCTTCTAGCAGGCTTCTAGGTGCTTATTTGCACTTGTTCTCAGTACCGCCTGCAGATGACTCATGGATTAGTTTGTCTCTCGTTGACGCTACCATGCCATAAAGTTCTTGCAAACAACGCTAGCTTAGCAAATGGAATAACGAGCAGTCATAATAATTGTTTAATTAACACGATTCATTGTATTAGTCGCGTCAAGTTTAATAATATCTGAAGAATATCAAAGGCCAACCCAATTTGAGTACAGAACTTTATTGATTCCACTAACAAATCGCGCGCCATGTGAAAGTGTCTACATATTATTGCACTTTCCTGTACCTTTGTTAAATGAAATCGTGGTAATTGAATCCCATCCATTCTGATATTAAGAGCCGTCGCAGGGGGAGGCAGGGGGGGTAGGAGGAGGCGTGACGTAATGTAGCACTTTGGGGAGTATTGTCCTGGTGGAAGCGTGTCTGGATAATGTCGGGAATTGCCGGCACATATTATTAATTCAAAAGAACCTTTGCAGGACAAAATAATTTAATTCGTTGCTGTGAAATTGACAAATCTTTGGTGAAACATGATTCAGTGTAAATAATAACATTATTACATTCTTGCCACTTTGAAGTAGTCGAGGTAGGTATAAAGAAAAACAATAAATGTAGTTGGTAAGTTTCAATGATATACCACAGCCAATAATATTTTAATTGGGTTACAGGGTTGACCTAAAACTCTTTTAATTCATCCCCAAAACACATATGTACTTACTCGTAACTAAAACATATTGAACAACAAATTAAGTGCATAAATGGGTAATTTATTTATTAATAAAAGCTTCTAACAACCAAGTAAAGTAGAAAACAAACTACGTACTTAGTCCCATTTCTTAGAAAGTAGAGCTGATGATTAACAGAAATACATGTGTTTTGCGGCTTTAGTACTAATAATGTACTCGTGAATCATATGCTAATTTGAGTAATAATATGCACACATTCCTGGAACCGATTCTAATACTGACACTAACTTTTCACGACTACACTCCAACAATCGGTTAACGTATATTACAAAGCACTGCATCTTATTACTCTTTTATTCGGAATTCAAATCGCTTACCGCCCTAACCGTTATGCTGGCCTGGGGCTCTGTCACGCAGTGCGATCGCGACTGGACTTGGCAATCGCCATCACACCGATAAAAATAAATAAATAAAAAGTTTTTATTTCGAACAACTCATAGTTCATAGTGTGGTTAGTAAACACACCTTAAATGCTAATGTTAGTAATCATTATCAATATAAAAATTAAAAATCAATAAATTAAAAATCAAATTAAATTAAATCAATTAAAACCAAATAAATAAAAGTAAATAAATAAATTCAATTCAAGCAGATTCATTAACAGTGAATAAAATAAATAAGTTAAATCACCCTAAGCACCAGACACTTCCAGATAGGTGATGTATACCTATTGGCTAAGGTCTTGAGAATGCTGTTGCTACTGGCACGCAATCTGTGTATCAAGGATGCTGTCTTTATGATAAAAAATCACGGAAATAATAGAGAATTTAGAAAGCGATCGGACGCCTTTGGTTTAACGGAATAAGGGTGCCAAACAGCTGCGGCGGTCGTGAGCCACACTCACATCATTTAGTACGTGCATTTGGTTCCCGTTTTAGATTCTGACCTAATATTACACATTCAAATATAATTTTCTGTTGGGAATTGAGAAGCGAAGAGTGTAACGTCGAAAGCGCTCACGGTAGATGTCAGGCGCACTGGCAGTTAGCGAATAAACGTTTACATCCGCGGACTTGTGTTGAACTTATTTTGCTTCCAGAAAAGACGAGCAGTGGGCCAGGATGTACTTGAAATATTTATTTATTGAATGTCTAATTCTTTGATAATAGTTAGCGTCAACACAGATAAGTACCTGCATAGTTTCTGGGGGCACGGCAGTGCCCCCACCAAGTCGAGCAAAAAAGCGGCACGGCCGTACCATCCTTTTCTCGAAGCAATTCAGGCCATTTTCGACCGCCTGTAACTTCGTTGTGGATAAAACTAGAAGGCTGAATTTTCATTAGCTATGCAGGCATTGTAAAGACACGGTATATTTAAAATTTCATTCAATTTGAACCAGTAGTTTAAGAATTATAACGGGTCAAAGTTACTTAATTTTGTCACTCACTGACTGACTCACTGACTCACTGACTCACTCACTGACTCACCGATCATCAAAACTCTAAGGCACTTCTAGCAGACCTAGAAGCTTCAAATTTGGAATATAAGTAGTGTTTGGTGTATGAATCAAGGAAAAACTAAAATATTTGGGGGCACGGTAGTGCAACCGCCAAGTCGAGTAAAATTTTTCAATTTCGGTCCAGTTTTCTAGATACATAACTGCTGTCTACAAAATACAAAAAGAAATGAGATCCCATCAAAAACAATACTTGTCAAAAAAACCAAGTCTCGCAACTCAGTTGTTCTACGGTAAAAAGTTGTGAGATCCATGTAATACCAAGTCCAGGCCAGGAAATCTTTAACGTTTTACATAAATTATTGACTTGGCCATCGCACTAAATAATTTAATTTACACGTGTTTTCATTCACAAGTATTGTTTTTGATGGGATTCAAGTTAACTTGATTAGACATCAGATAGACTGGCCGTCATAGTTCTCGTTCCGACACAGA